GTCTTTCCAGATTGCCGCTGTGATGAACGTGTCTGCTACGAGGACCTTCTCCAAAGGTGCCATGGCTGGGAACAGGTCTCTGGACTTCTTGCCATAGCCTTACTTTTGAGTGTTCCCACAGGCTTCTGGCACCATGAACAAGAACTGGGTGCTCAGGTCACGAGAGAAAAAAGAAAACACAAATAAGAAACATCAGCTGATAAATGACTGTAAGGGAAGGAGGAACATGATCTCTGTGTCCACAGTGGAGATGACAAGAAGTAACAGGCTTAATGGCAGCGAGAGGTACTTAGGCTGGACACTAGGACTTGTTCATCAGAAGTAGCACCAGCTCCATTATTTGCAGCACTGTAAATAGCAGTGATTTGCACTAAAGCAGACTGTCTGCAGACAGTGCCTCCGTGTTTAGAGCTCTTTAAGATTGGACAAACACCCATCTGACAGGGGAACAAATATGCAGCCTGTGGGGTAAAACACACGTTTAAGGTAGAAAATGGGCTTAAAGACCTCTTCATTTCTCGGTGCTTCAGTGACTAAAGAAACCAAAGTTCGATGAGGCAGCACCTTTTATTTGGCCAACAGATTGGGGGAAAAAAAAAAGGTTTTAGACAGAGGCTTAAGTCTGTGGCTATACCAGGACTGCTACAGCATACACTTTGTGCAGTTGAATCAGATGACGTTGTAAAAATAGATGGCTCCCAAAAATTCTTGCATGATTTTTCCCCACTAGAAAACTCATCTCATTTCAAGAAACAGTTTATCTCCCAAGACCTTTGGAGTCACCCAGAACAAAGTGCCGTAACCAAAAGTGAAGAAAAAAGAACAAAAAATTTTCTCCAGAAGCATGATGTAAGCGGTAGGATGTGTCTGCATTGCCTCCAGCTTCTGCTATTTCATCCTATTTTCCCTTTTACTATCCCTATCCCTATTACTATCAAGAAGAGATACCCCAGCTGCGTTTTCGTTTGGTTCAGCGGCTTGGATGTTAAACTCTAACATTTTCACAGGGATGACAAAGCTGAGAAGTGTTTCCTGTGGGTGTCTGCAGCAATGGATGGGACTGGGAGTGCTGCTCTGCTGAGACGGTGGGCAGGTGGAAGGGCTGCAGCAATATTTCATGGGGATAAGTCACTCCACACATTCCCAGTCCTCACTGGAAGGGCTGTATCATTGTCACAGGGTGTTCCTGTGAGCACCTCTGTAGTTTCCATGCCTGACAGGGATGACCATGTGTGTAAGAAACTATGTAAGTGAAACAAGAAAAACAAAAAAATAGAAATTAAACAGCATCGATTGCTCAGTTCAGAAGTATATCAACAGTCTTCTCAACTTCTTAGTGAGTCAACTGCTAGGCCACCTGGCTGCGGCTTCCCTCCTGCCATACGTCCTCCAGAGCTCTCTGCTGCCACAGGTCCCAGCTCTGCCACAGCCTGACGGAGGCAACCCAGGAACTGGGCTGAGGCAACATAGGCTTTCTGCAGAAAAGCATGGAAAGCAGACACTGTGGACCCAGCCTGATCTCCTGACAGACAGTGAGGAGAAATTTTGAGGGGAAAGACCCTGGCAGAGCATGCTTGTTGCATGTGGGCTTAGCTATGGGCAACCAAAGAAGACATTGTTAAGTGTAGATCTAAAAATTGATTGTTTGTCTAATTAACGTCTTAGCCTAACCAGAACACAACAACTTATTTAGTCCAGTTATTATATAGGTACCTATAATCTAAATGACTTGATTATTGATAGGAATTAGCAAAAACTAAAATTGTTACATACACATCTCCAGAGCTGCACCATGCTTTGGTGATACTCCCCTGTCCTATGCAACATTATGAGAGGCCATCAAGCTTCTCAAATCCTTTCCCTGGAGAAGTATGATGATGACAGTGTGTGTTGGGGGGAGGGGATGGTCTTCCTCCATTGTCTTGAGTTTGCTCAGAATTACTTCTGTGTGTCAACCCTGTATTTTTTAATGGGTTACAGTCTTTCCTCTGCTGTTTGCCCACAAACTTACATACACCATGATTCTTTCTCCTTATACAATATGATTTCTTTTAAGGGGGAGATCCATGCAGTTGGACAAAATAATGCAAAGCTTAAACTAAAACACATTTGGGAATAATAGAGTTAAAACAAACCCCAAACCCCAGGATAGCGAGAGGCATTTGAACGTTTAGTTATTCTGCTGTTACAGCTAGGAGAGGCTAGACAATGGACCTCTGCTTCTTGGGAAAATCGTAGGCACAGGAAAGGCTCTTAAATAATTTTGAAAAAACAATTTAAAATCATCCTAGAGCAGCTATTTATTGTTATACAGCTTGAGGTCTAGTGCTAGCATCGTCAACAGCAATTTGGCTGGGCTACAGGGCTGCAAGCTGGGGGAAGAGTTGCCCCAACAGCCCTGTTGCCTCCAGCAGTCCCGTGCCATCCAGGGCAGTGCATCTGGGGAATGGGGCTGCCCAGGGGTGCGGAGGTAGCGTTCACGATGCTACCGTGCCTGTCCATGGAGAAACAATGACCAGGGCAATCAACTAATCTGCAGATCTGCTGCAGAGCTGCAGCCACAAAGCTAGGTAGGTCTGGACAGATGAGCAGTGCCAGTGGGTGGGTGTAGCTGAGCCTCTTGGGGCTTCCCAAGTGTGAGCAGTCTTATGTTCTCATTTACAAAAGCTAACTGGGCAGGATGTTTCTCTCTCACTTACCAGTTTACCACTCTTACATCACATTTTGCTCTGTCCTTTAGGATTTCAGTCCCACAGTACTGTCCCAGCCTGTTGCGTTGTTGGTTTTTTGCATTGCTTGTAGGGTACGTGTTCTGGGAGTCCCACCACATTGGTAAAGTGGCCTCAGCAATCCCCTCCTTCCCCAGCCATCATCTTCCCATGAAGGGCTTTGGAATCAGCGTTGCCTCAAACGAGGAGAATTTAGTCAGAGGAAAACAGAGAAACGTGTCCCGAATTCTGTCATTGTTACATAAACCCCCTTGCTGAACATCTGGAGAACATCTGAAGTTTAACAAAGCAGGCCTGCAGGCAGAGGCATTTTTGACCTTCCCTGTAATGGAAGCATGAAAATCAAGACTAACAAGAGGGGAGTAAATATAACCAGAAATGGAAGACAAAATGGGTCCAGCATATCGGGGCTGACTTTGGCCCAAAAACCTGACAAGGGCTCCTGAGATCCTGCCTAGACAGTGCACAAGTGTGGGGAGGCACAAGACAACACACCTAATCACAAGGCATTGGGCACTGCTGAAAAATCCCTGCTGGTCCCTGTCTTCTAGGGAAGACAGCTCTCCACCAGGCTCTGTTTAAAACCACGTTTCTTCTAGGCAAACTGGAATTTACAGGGAATGTTTAGATTTTTCTCATGGGTAAAACTGACAAACACTCCAGAACTGAGGTTTGGAAACCAACAATTTTTGCTGGTTTGGGATTTTCTTCCCCTTTCAGTAAAGGGAAAAAGCAAGGGCATGGTTGGGGGGAGCGGAAAGCACACAGAAGCAGGAAAAATCCCTCCTGCCACCTGCTTTTTTAGCAAAAAGCTATAAACCAGCCCAAAGTCAGAGATAGCTTTCTCCACATGTCTTTTGCGTCCCTGCATTTGACATGGCCCAGCTTGGGTGTGAGAGTGGCATACCCCCAGGAGGGTGCAGGAGCTGTGCAGGGGGGGGCAGTCCCCTTTTCCCACCCCCCCTTGCTGGCAGCAGTGTATCCCACTAGCTGGGCAGCCCTAGCAGTAGGTGTATAACCCAGGGGCTTGTCTGTATCGTGTTCCCTTCCTTCATGGATGATTCACACCAAGGACCGCAGTGGGCCATTAAGAAATATTTCTTTAGCTGTAACAATAACCGACTTTATTAGGGCAGACGTGAAGGCATTTTTTCCTAACTTTCCATGGAGAGGAGAGCAGGACATCTGATACAAACTGCAGCCACCCGCAGAGCCTCCCCAGAGGTGTTCCTCAGACTTTCCAGCTGTGAATGAGGTATCCCCAGTGCTGCGGGACAGCCAGGGAGCCCAACAAGCATCTCAACTGAGATGCTTGGCTAAGAGAGAGCATGACTTAGAGGAGGACATGAGACAAGGGGGAAGCAAGGCAGTGCCTCTCTATTACAGAAATAGGACATGAATGTGGTCCACTGTCTGGGGAGCAAGTGACTGTGGATGCATCCTCAGTGAAAGGTTGCAACAAGCCCCTGGGACATACAGGTATGGCCTGAGAGCTTCCTCAAAGACAGGCACCCTTTAGAGCTGTCTTAGGATGTAAAACAAATGTTTGGGGAGCACTGAGCCTGGCGAAGCTGGATGAGATGTTTGATACCTCCACCACTAGCTCTGTCTGCAAAGCAGCATCCCCACGTGCCTGGGAAATGAGGTACTAAGGAGAGATGCTGAACATCAGCAGAAAGCAAATGCAGCTTACCTCTTCACCTGATGATCACCATCCCTCTGCACCTGGTCTTCTGGAAACAACAGTACCTACCTGTGTAGTTTTGGTGGTTGTTTTTTTTTTTTTTCGCGCGGCGGGGGCCCGGGGGGGGGGGGGAGGCTCAGGCCCGGCCGGTCCCGGTGGCCGGCAGCCGAACGCAGGTGGCCGGGGGGTAGGCTTTCCCCGTGCTCCGATCCCCGGCGATGGCGCGGGGGGGGCGTGGGGGCCCGTCGTTTCTTTTTTTTTTTTTTTTTTTTTTTTTTCCCAACCAGAAGGCAAATGGAAGCTGTGTAAGCATTTCCCATCCTTTGAGAGCTCAGTGCTATTCTCATAAAATTTTTATGCACTATTTAATAGATGAATATAATTCACACTATTTCTCAAATCCATGGCATTCAATAACAGCCAGATTTGCAACGCAAAAGCAATAGATCTCTTTTTCTTCTATTCCTTACAGTTTTATCTGAGAAGTTCAGCTGGAGTCCTCCCGAATCCCAGCAGCCTCTATTTTACAAAGTGACTTTTTGAACATTTGGAGCCCTTGAAATTCAAGTCAGACAAACTTCCAACAAGATTGTGGAAAACAATTTATTTGACAAATTTCCGAAGTGGACAATTTTAGTAAAACACAGGCATAAAATAAAACTAACTCGTACAATGGGTTTTTGGATACAAAGTAAAGAGTTTGGGATGCCGATACCTGGCAATCACTGTTGCTTTCTCAGAAGCGCATGAATTCATAGCAAGAGCACCAATGGAAGCGCTGAAACAGAATCTCACCCAGCCAAACCACATCTTCAGTGTGGTCCTGGAAACAACTGTGTAAACACCAAGGGCCCGCATCACCCACATAGTGATAGCACCTTTGTCAGTATATCCGTAGGGTGCAAGTCAAAGACCCTGGCAGATAATGGCAGCCTTTCCCTTGACTCTGCTGACCTGTGGATGAGGCCCTAATCCAATATATAGTACAGTTAGTGGGTTTCCCTTGGGCCCAGGTGCTTAAGTCCTAGATGGTCCTAGAGAAACAGTACTCTCAGAGAGCTCACTGGGAATTAGACAGCTTGGCACTTTTGAAAAAAAGTATAAAACAAAAAATCCCACTAACTGGGCTCAGAAGGATTTTCCAGAATGGATCTTGGACCATAACACAAGTCATCAGGTTATTCATGAGGTTCCTGGTTTCACTGTAGGACCATGAGATCAGTTAGTGAAGGAGTGCAGTTACATAGCTTCTTCTAGGGTTTCCCCCTCCCCAGTGGCTGCTGTCCATCTTTCATTTGGTTGGTGCTCAGCCTCCCTGCCCTGAATGGAAGTGTCAGCGCTGAGGGATGCTCCACCACCCACCTCCACCCCAGCCCTGGGAAGTCAGTGCCCCATCCCATGGCACTGGAGGCCAGAGATGCTTCCACCCAGCTTGGGTAATGCAGTCCAGCCCTCCCCCCCCAAGCATGGGAAATATGAACCAAACCTGCCAGCCATGACAACGATCCCCTCTCAAAGCTTGCTGAAGTGTTGAACATTTCACTTGAAGCACAGCATTGGGTTAGGACCATTGAGAGCTGGGCAAGTGCTCAGCTGATGTATGAAAGAAAGAAGCAAATGAACAAAACCACCTGTATCTGAAAAGAGCATAATCAGCCTTATGAGACCAGGCTAGTCCTTAGTGGTACAAAATTCCTCATCCTGATTCTTTCTTGGCAAAAAACAGTGGGATGAGGTTGCTATTGGTGTTCTGGCAGCTTATTGCTAGGTGTGCTTGTGTTTGCCTGCTGTGGGGAGGGAGAGGCAGTCATGGGCAGGGAGGGAAGTTTGAGACTAACAGAGTAGAGCTGCAGATGATGAAGCAGGGGGAGAAGGAAGGGGACTATGCACAGCCAAGCTGTGGCACTATGGCTATCTGCATAGATGCGAATTCCTCAGATTGGTGAAGAATACTGTTAATTTTTTTTTTTTGTTTTGTTGGTTTTCATTTTTAGGTGAGACAGAAGCAGGCATGGCCTTGGCAGAAACCCACCCAGATGCTCAGTCAACAGCTATCTTCCTGGAGACAGTTTGGTAGAAGACACCACGCAGCAGAGAGGTATAGTCGGGCACACGGAAGAGGTGGCGCTCCCCGTAGACCACATCATAATCTGCGCTCTTCCCTGTGACCAGGACACGGATGTTGGGTTCATTGGCTTGGCTGCCCACTGCTAGCACGTAGATCTCGATGCCAGCCTGCTGAGCTTCCTGCACAGCCCTCTCAATGGCCCTTGCGGTGATCCCTTGAGAGTTGCCATCAGAAAACACCAGCACTCTCTTCTTCGCCCCAGCACGGGAGGACCGCTGGTACAGCCCCGTGACGTACCGCAGAGCGGCATTGACGTCCGTGGCATCGTTAATGAACTCCATGTTGTCGATGGCTTTGGCGATGACCGTGTAGTTGTACTGGAACTGAGCTTCCACTTTCTGCTGGTTTCTGCCGCTGTACTGGACCACCGAGACACGCACAGAGTCGTCGGCAGGCTTGCCGGCCTCCAGGAACCGCTCTGCCAGCCGCTTCACGAACTTCTTAGTGGTCTCAAAGTTCTTGCTCCCCACACTGGTGGAGCTGTCCACCAGCAGCGTGATGTCCGCCAGCCCAGTGAAGGTGACTGCAAGGGGAAAGGCCCAGGGCTTGTTACGCTGCATTTCTCCTCCTGCCTCTTCCGTGGAAAGCTGGTGAAGTCACTAGCTGTCTTGCAGGCTTCCTGCTTTGTCAGACTTGGGAAATCCCCACTATCTGGGTATTTGCTAGCTTGGTTTCCCCTACCCCAGTGCTGTCCTACTCTTGTCCTTTTACCCTTTCATTCCTTCTTTTATTTGGTTTATGACAGGCTGCATTCCCAGATACTTACCTGGCTTAGATAATCTAGTGACTCCTGCTGCTTAAATACAGTGCTGTCCTTGCATGTCTGGGGAACCATTTCACCTCCTGAGGCTGGCTTCTTTCCATGATGAGTCTGAGGATTGTATACACTTCTGACTTGGAGGTGTACCCCACTAAATTCCTCCCCCTGTACTCACTTTTCAAGCACCTTTCTCAAATATCCCTGCCACAGTGCTGATTTTTCCTTGTGCTCCCACCACCACATAGCAATTGATCTCATTACCTGCCTCAGCTAAAGCCTGTGAGGGCTAAAATCTGGCACAGCCTGCTCTCTAGGGTTGAGGTGCCTGAAAAGCAACTGTCTAGGCTTTTCCCCCAGGTGCTTTGGGCTGGCGTGTGTGTAAGAGACCCTGCGAGTGTCTGACAAGGCACGCTCCCTTCTCCAGCCCAGGAGCCTCCCTGTTGTGAGAGGTCTCCAAGCTATGCATTCCCACAAAACACAAACTCCCACTTCCCCCACGACAGCACCTGCAACCCCTTCATGTGGCACGAGGAGTCAATACTCACTTGGGCAGGTGTAGTCTGGACATTTCTTCTCTGTTAAGAAAATTAGAAAGAGTAACGTCACCAGCTCACCCAGGAAAACCACTTCTTCTATAGCTTCCCACAAGCCACAGAAGGGACAAATGCTCACCTTGGCCACAGCCACATTGTGCAAGGCACTGTGCAAAGGCTATAAACGTGCACCAGAAAGCACAGAGGTGCGTGCTTGAAAAATGCTGTGGACAGAGATGTCCTGCAGCAGGAGAGGACCTGGACCTGGCTGCAAAGTGTTCTGAGACACAAGATGTCCTTGTCCCTTATTTAACTAAACCTTGAACACTGTTCTCTTCCCTCAACGCCTGCTTAAGAGCATGACTGGGGGAAGGCACGGGCGGGCAGCCTGCATCCCTCGCCCTTTGGCTGAAGCAATCCTCACTACCTTCCTTATTGCCTCCAGCCACAACCTTTCACCCACCTTGGCAGACATACGAGGTGATGTTCTGCAAGAAGGTGTCATCCAGGAGCTCAGCGTAGTTGTCCCTTTGAATGGACAGTCCTGGCCTGGTCGGTTGGCTTAAACAAGCGATATCATTCAGGTGATCTGGATTTGGAGGGTTCCGGAAAATGTCGCCTATCCCAAGGGAAACCACCTGCAGGGAAGTTAGAGTCCATCACCGGATGCGTTCATCATCTAATGCATTCATAAACTTGAACGCCTGTCACTTTGTGAGAGTGCTTCTAGTGACACGTGTCCCACCTGCCCTAGCCTTGGGTAGCAAAGACATGGAGACTCCCAGAGACCCTGCACTACTCTGATGCACAGCTGCTGTGTGGTGATTCCCTGCAGGCAGTGTGCTTCCCCTGTGCCCTTACCGGGGTGACATCGCACAGAGAGTTGAGCGGGGTAGGGTCCCGCAGCGTGTCAGAGCGTCCATCTGTGATGACGATGGCGACACGCTTGTCAGAGGTGAATCTCCGCAGCAGGTTGTCCTTGGTGAACTGCAGGGCTTCTCCAGTGTAAGTGCCTCCAGCTATCCATTTCAGGTTCTTGACTGCCCTGCAAACAGAGACACCAGTGAGCCTGCAAGCTCTTCTCCATGGATACTGAAGGAGCCTCTGGGAACACGTATCTGACATGCTTGTGAGGCAGAACAACACCCCTGCACAGGGCTTTGGGTGGAAAACTGGCAAGCTCCTTGGCCTTAGCACCACTTAGAATGCCACCAATTGCTACTTTCCACTAAAGAACATTTAGCACCCTTACAGTTGCAGAAGCTGCTGGCCTGGAGATGGAGGATGGGAGGCGAGTAGGTGTCCCTGGGTCAGGTCTCTGCACAATGCACCGAGACCCCACAGACTCACTGTTTGAGCGCCCCGATGTTGTCTATGTTGGCATCCCCCATGGCCACCAGCTCCTGCGTGTTGTCATGGCTGTACTGCACAACACCCACACGGGACTCCCCAGCTTCAAACTGTTGGAAAAAACAGAAGCCAGTTAGGGTCAGATACCTCAGGGGGCCCTGGAGAGCTCAGAAGTCCTGCTGGTGGTTTGTACTGAACATCTTCATGGCAGGCTCTGCTGCCTCTCCTCTGCCTTATTCCAGGCAGAAGGAGCCCCAACAGGAGTGGATGCACATGGGGACCAATTTGATGAGCCAGTCAGTGAAACAAAACCCAAATCCAGGTTTCCCGGCTCAGTGGTCTCAACACAAGCCATTGGCCATGGTGGGTGGCTAGGAATAGATCTTTTTTCAAAACTTCTGTTTTCCTTCCAACGCAGTGGTTTTGCTGCCCAGCTCTAGCCTTTCTGCTTGTTACCAGCTCTTTCCCAGCCAAAGAGACCCATGCATGCCCACACAAGTGTCCAATGGCAGCTCGTTGTGTCTTTACAGCCTGTGTACTACAGATGTGTCTGGTTATACCTTAAAACTGGATCCCAAACATCCCTTCCAAATCACAGAGGTAAACAAAATTTCCCACGCACAGTGGGTTACCAGGGAAGAGTTAGGAGAGTAAGCATTTGTGTCCCTCTTCAGACTGAAAGACTCACTATTGGGACAATATTGCTGTTTTGGGCTGCAAAGGTCCTTCTTAGTAGTATGCTTAACTGGTAACCTAAACCCAAACTTGGGGGCAGACAAGGGTGCCTGGCCATCAGGGAGCTAGGGGAAGTTGCAACACACCTCATGTGTTATCTACTCCAGTCACCTGAAGTGCTCATCAGGACAAGGAAGAGACTGAGAGACTGACCGATCAGGCAAGTGCTTTATGAGTCGTCTGTTCTGAGACATGGAGGAAGAGTTCACAGCCACAGCAGGCAGAGTCCCTTTGCCCAGAAAGAGTGAAATGTCTATATCTTGGGACAACAAACTGCTGTCTCATCTCCATTACTTTATGAATCTGGGAGGAATCAAGACCCACCCCAGTTACACACCTGAAGCTAAGCCTTGTGGAGGCATCTCCCTGTTTTTTCTGCTTGCAGTGAAAGATAAGTGAGTGTACACAAGCGTATCCCAGCACTCGGTGGAAATCTCACCTTCACACGCTCGTCCTTGCTCAGGCGGTCGATGACTTTGATGATGAAGTCCTTGGCAATCTGGAAGTTCTGCAGGCCGATGCTCTCCGAGCTGTCCAACACGAAGAGGAGGTCGACAGGACCGCAGGTGCACTCTGCAGCAAAGCACAGGAGCGGAGAGGCTTGTGTTTTCTATCTGAGCAGCTCGCTCAGAGCAGCATGTTTTGCAGGGAGGCATACCAAAGCAAGCAGCTGATATCTGCTATTAGTCCTGACCAGGTGGGTGCCTGTGCCCTATCTACCCACAAAGCACGGTGTAAAATAAAGTGACAAAATAGCTGCATAGGAGACTTGAGAGTCAGTTTACTAATTTTTCCATTTGCCTTTTGCTCAGCACTCCTTATAAGACACGTAGCATTTCCAAGCTGTGTGTACCCTTAAAACACCCAGTAATTATTCCAAAACCCATTTCTTCATAAGCCTTCTCACTTCTTCCATTCCCCCAGCCCAGGAGGACAGAGGTGACACTGGTGGGCTGGAGGAGGCTGACTCAGCTTGCTCCCCTCTTTCCCATGGCTGAAGGACATCATGTTCCTTTGGCTCTTCCTTCAAGCTTTTGGACTGCAAACCCAACCCATCAGGACAGCATCAGAAAAAAAACCCCAGCTCATTTCTCTGCAGACCAGCACAGGATTTGGGAAGGAGGAGGACAGAGCTGGATCCCCAGCATGCCCTGAACTGACGTCCCTTTCAACTGCAAAAAGAGTGGAGAAAATCCGTCTGCAGTTTGCTGGCACAGGACACCTTGACAACAGTTTTCCAGTTGTAGGACCCAGCCACAACAGCCTCTGAAACCGTGCAGCACCCTCGGGGAGAGCTCGCTGCGCTCCCCTGCCTTGCTCATGCGCGGTCCTCCCTCCCGGGCTCTCACCATGTCTCCATAGCAGAAGGCAAGGAGCAGGGAAATGGAGGGGTGCAAGCAAGGAGAAGGGCTAGCAACTGTTCAGTTGCTAGAGCAACTTTGCCAAGTAACACTCACCGCAGCAAGCTAGAAGAGAAGGGAAAGAAAGAGAGAATGTTAAAACGCTTGACACAAGGGTTTTCACACACTAATGCAGGTTTGTGTTTCTGCAAACCCAAAGACACCTAGTCTGGACAATTCAAGCTCATGGAGGTTTCCCTCCCGTTTGAAATACCCAGATCTCTCTCCTGTTAGAGATTGTGATGCCCCGACCTGGAGCACTGCATGCAGCAGAGCTCTGTTTCTGCACCTGCTGATGCATTTTTATTTAAATAAAAATAAAAGCTAATCCTGGAGGGATTAAGTAAATCACCAGAGTATGGAGCTCAAACTCAGTTCCCTAAGTACCCTACGTCCTTCCAGCACTTCATTACTGGCCATGGGCCAGAAACCCTTTGCAGCACAGGTGTACTGCTGTTCCCCATGGCAGGACACCCCAGAACAGACCTCCCTTTCCCAAGGGGGAAAGTCAGACCCTGCTATTTAAGAAAAAGCCATTGTAAAATGGTCCAATCAAATATTTTACACAACTTTGCTCGTATTTTCCCCGAAGGATAATTGTGTATGTACAGAGCCACAGACACAGCAAACCAGTCTGCAGCATGCACAAAGTGAAACACAGTTGCACAACCTACTCTAGAGATGGAGCTGGAAGTCCCTGGGTCAAGAGAAAGGACAGCAACATGCAGAAGATTTGCCTCTTTTGGGTTGCCGTCCCAGCTGCAGGGAGGAGCTCCCACTTCTCCCCCAGCTCATTGACTTAATTGTGACTCATGGAAGGGGAGCAATGCCCATGGCATCCCTCTGCATGTTGCCTGGGGATGGCCCTGCTTGCTGGGGGCCAGAGAAAAAGCAGCTACCTCCCACTCAGCAAGGAGCTGAGCAGCGTGGGGGGAGCGGTACAGGGATACTCACAGCACATCTTCATGATGATGTCCAAGATTTCACATTCCTGAAAACAGAGGTAAAAAAATGTTTGAATAACAGTGAAGGCAGCTTCCTGGCTCCCAGGTGCTGCCCACCACCCCTGCTGCTGCTTTGTACCCTCAAAGCAGGTCCTGATCTGGAAATGAGTGATGTGCAAGTGGGGCGCGCTACAGAGGGGACTGGCTGGTGATGGACTGACATGAAGGAAATCTGGCCAGTGAGACTCGCTTGGACAGTAATGGGGGGCAGCCACTACCCAGCCTGGGAGCACAAGGCTTCCCCAGCAGTGACCCCCTCCCAGGAGCCATCCTGCGGGGCAGGCGAAGCACAGACCAAGCAAGCAACCAGCGCCCTGATCCTGTTCCACTTACATCTGGTCCTGGAGGCCCCACAGGTCCTGGTGGTCCCTGTCAAACAGAAGTGTGGAGAGAGCAGTTACAAGAGCAGCCAGTCCTATCTGCGGTGTACTCTGCCAATACCTTGCTAAGCAATGCAGAGTCTGGAAAAGTCTCTTGGCGTCCCAGTTGCTGGCCCCTGCCCTGGGCCTTGAGCAGGTACATCTGCTTGCTTGCACGATGCCCTGGGGCTGCACGGGGATGGAGGGAAGGAGAACCACCTTCCACACATACCATGCCCACCGAGGTGGGAAGGCAAGCTCTTGCTGCAGGCGGTGAGCACACACACAGTGTGTGACGTGGCTTGGCATTGCCCCCACAGCACCCAGGGGATGGATGGATGGATGCCTTTTACTTGGAAGATGCCTCTCCTGTAGCCTCCAGGCCAATGTGAGGCAACGCAAGCAAGTGGTGACTCAACACAAACTGAAACGCTTTCAGGTTCAGTATGGCAACTCCAAAAGGCTGCTTGCCCTTACTGAACCTGATCATACGAGAATGCTTTGCTCATGAAAAAGTACAAGTGCCTGTATTTTCTGCCCTGATTTGGGGTGAACATGATTTCAGAGACCTGTGTACCAGGCTGCAGCAGCGGGTTTTTAAACTGCCTTGCTCCTGCTGTGAGCAGGGCCAAGCACAGCAAGTCTGCAGTGAGCCCTGCTCTTGGGAACTCCGTCAGCCTGGCACGCTGCGCTCATCAGTGCAAACCCTGCCAGGGTCCTTACTTACTGGGCGGCCTTCAGGTCCCCTGTGGCCCTTCGCTCCTTTGATGCCCCTGGGGCCAGGGGTTGGGTTCTGGAATGAAAACAAAAGCAAAATCCACAAATCTATGTGTGTCAGGGTGCAGTACCTTCCCCTCCAGATGTCTGCTGAGCCCTGCCTAACCACAAAAATGTTAGCTGAGATTGCTGTACCCAACCAAACGAGTTAGGACTTGGGAGGGTCAGGATGGACACTGGGAAAATCTCCCTCCACAGGACAGTGGTGCAGCACAGATGCAACCATTGGTGCTATCTGGAAGCATACAAAACTTTGCAGAGACGATACCCACCTCAACCTAACAGATCTGGAGGTTTGCCAGCCATAAGCTATAGGACACAAAATGAACATCTGGAGAGAGCTCCCCTTGCCATCAGACACTGCTTAGTGGCAAAGGGTGCTTGCAGACCTGCAAAGTCTGATGGGCTCTGTTAGAGACCCAGCCCAAAGCTCCTGTACTGTGTTCACAGAGAAAGATGATTCAGCTTTATACAGATTACTCACATCATTGCCAGGGTCTCCAGCTTCTCCTTCATCACCTTTAGGACCAACGTAGCCTTTTGTTCCCTGAAAAACAGCACAGAAGAGACTCCTGCATGGACAGCTGTTGTTAGTGTGGTGAAGTTGGTGCTGGCATGCAGTGACCTTGCGAGAGCTGGCTTGGGAGGGGGGGGGGGGTGAGGGG